CCACTCTTGTTTTTTGTGATAATGTGAGTGCAGTCTACCTCTCTGCAAATCCTGTTAAGCATCAGCGCACGAAGCACATCGAGGTTGACATACACTTCGTTAGAGACCGCGTGGCTCTCGGACAGGTCCGCGTACTACATGTCCCTTCGTCTCTCCAGTATGCTGATATCTTCACGAAGGGTCTTCCATCCATCATTTTTTCAGAATTCCGGGATTGCTTGGGCGTTCGGCGTTTCGCACCAGTGCCGTTGGGAGCATGTTAAATATATTAAGTATATATTTAGTATCTTGTGTATATAGTAGTTTCCATACATGTATAGTCCTTATTAATTAAGGATTCCTAACATAGTAGGTTTCCTATTATAACTAGGACTATTCTACTATATAATATCCCTTGTATTCCCACATTATCATTATTGGAATATATCAATTCTTCAGAACTAAAAGAAATTGAAAGAAATTGAAAAATATAGAAAGACGTACTAGATAAAGTAGAATGAACTGCGGAAAATGCAAGTAACTACAAATAACTTGAAAGTAAAAATTGGAACTTGCATGTGCCTCGAGTTAATTTGTCATGTGGTTCGATTGTACCAGCTGTCGTGGCGAGTCCTTTGTGGAGACTGCTGATCTATTGTGGGCTATTGGTCTTTGTTGTTTGGGCTTTTTTCTTGCGTGCCTGGGCCTTGCCCCACTTTGTATTATTTCATTTGATGCGTGAGTGGGTCAACTAGGCTCCTTGCATAGGTTTGGGCCTATGCTCCAATATACGCGCGCAATTACACTATCCACGCCGCTCCTCTATGTATGAGTAATTTTTAAGATTGATCTTTTTAATAAGCTGCTTTCTGAATTAGTTCTTAATAAATTTTAATTATCTATATGGTGTCTCATAATTGAAATTTATTTTCTATTTATTCTTCTATAGAAAATATCACTTAATGACGATCAAGTGGAAGTTATTTTGATATTTTTCATCCTCCAAATTTAGAGTAAATTCTCAAAGTGATTATTTCTGATTAAGTGTTTTTCTAAAATGGTCTTTTTCTAATTAAGGTGTATTTGATTCAAATTTTAATTTATTTTGACATGTTTTTAATAAATCTTGGATTATATATCTATATAGTCAACGACTGTTTTAACTTTACATAAAACTGTATAGAAATTACCATTTTAAGATTATGAAATTTGCACTAAATAGCACTAAAACATATGTCATTTTTTAATATAGAATTTAAATTTTTTATTTCTATAAATAGTACTTGAATAAGATCTAGTGACGCGAACAATGTCCAGTGATTGTGGACATATAGTTTGAACAATGTCCAGTGGCGGTGAGCATTTATTTGAACAATAACCAGTGGGCATTAAACAGTAGTATTACATTGGAAAATAAAAATATGTGGTGCTACATTCAGAAAGTTATTATGTTTTAGTACTATTTAGGTAAATTCTCTTTTAAAAATTTGCTTTAAGTTTAGATGATGAAAATTACAAAATATTCTTCAATTAATCATTATTTAAGTGATATTTTTACGAAGACAACTTAAAAAACAAATTTCAATTAAAAATATCATGTAGAGAATTATATTTATTGTAAATTTATTTAAAAACACCTTATTCGAGCTTATCATTTTAAGAATTTACTCTATATTTATCTTTCTCACATGTTACTACCTCCGTCCCATTTTAAATTGCATGTTTGCCTTTTTTCTCCGTCCCAGAATAAGTTGCCTGTTAGTTGTTTTCGTAAATTTTTAAGAATAAAATACCTGAACTACCTCTAAAATAAGTCACTCTTCTCCACATTATCTTCTCATTCATCATAATTCCTCCTAAAAAGTATTGACAATTTCGAAAAATCAACTCTGTTTTTTATTTTCCTTAAATATGCCCAAAAGTCAAAACGGGCAATTTAAAACGAGACGGAGTGAGTACTTTTTTTATTTATATACTCCCTCCGTCCCAAATTATTTGCAACGTTTACTTTTTCGACAGTTGCGGGAACTTTTGTTTATTTTTACGTTTTTATTGGTTATTTGATAAAACAAAATATTCTTGACACCGCTTATTACGAAGAATTTTTTATGTAGTTTTTTGATACGTAAATTTTATTCTTTATTTCTATACTAATATGTAAATAAAATGAATTGAAAAATCTTAATATTTTCCCTCAAAAATATAAGTGTGACAAATATTTAGAGACGAAGAAAGTATTAAAATTATGGAAATGATTCACCAAATTTAGCTGCCGCAGTAAAAATCTCCGGGAGAGGGAACTTAAGATGAAAGATTACTAAAGGTAATCCGTTATTAACTAATTAATTAAAGATAAAGTGGGTACGAGACATTGGTAGGCAGGCCCCCTACATGACTTTTCGCATCTTTCTCTTTTTGTTCTCACGTCAAAAATTACTCCTACAAAAAAACAAAAAATAAATTCTCAAAATACTTAATAATTACCCTTAGTATTTGTTTAATTTTAAATTTTTTAGTAAAATTTTGTAAACTTTGACTTCCAGTTAAATAAAAATGATATTGGATATTGATACAAAAATATTAATAGATTTATTATATAAAATATTTTCAAAATATTATTTTATCTAATAAATATACAATATATATTTTATTTAATTATAGGTCAAAGATTAAAAACGGTTGAGTGAAAAAAGTTAAAACTGGACAAATACTCTAAGACAGTGGTAGTATTTGTTTTCCAATATTAGTATCCAAGAGAAACTAATTACTGAGATTAAATTCGCTAATTGAAAATAATGCCCACTTTAGTTCCGAGATCCCCGAACTAACGGTCGTCAAAAGAGCGTTAAATGACATTAAAAGTTATACTAATTTTCCCAATTGATAATACATAATTGGATGTTTTTGCAAATTAATCTATTTTAATGTAAAAACTCATTTAGTATGAAAAATCAAAGCATGATTGTTTCCTTTTAATTGATGCACGGTGTTTGACCGAAGTCGGGAGACCATTTTTATGAGATTTTGTTTTGAAAATTTACTAATTTAAAAAATAAGGTGATTAGAAATGCTCATTTTGGGGAAATAAGTATAAGTTTTAATGTTGTTTTGACTCCATTTTGATGACAATTTTTTCGGGGGGGGGATTAAACATGACATTATTTTCAAATAACGAGTACCATAGAAAATTTGTTCATCTTAAGTACTAATTTGGAAAAATACATAGTTATTGAGTATCATTTTAATTCAGACGGATGGATACTGAGAAGAGATAGATTATATTGAACTTTAATCCCAAATTAACGTCAAGAAGTGAAGCTTTCACATGGGGCCTGTTTGGGAATAGCTTTAGCGATTAGCGTTAGCGTTTTGAAAAGGCTATCTACGGACATCATTTAGCGTTAGCGTTTTCAAAGTAATCTGCACCGTTAAAATTTTATCCAAAACGCTAACGTTAATCTCTAACGCTATTCCCAAAGAGGCCCATGGTATTTGCAAAGACTCCATGTTAACATATATAATTGCCTAAGGTCTATCTCCCTGGCATTCTTTGCCTTTGCCAACTACGCAATATCCACAAAGCAAAAATTACTCCCTCCATAGCCTGACCTGATGTATGATCTTTCACATACATCTGCTTGAATATTCATTTTCTAGTAACTAAAAATTCATTTTCAAGTAATAGACTACCTATTTTAGAATAACTGAATACTCATTTACGAGTATAAGTGAATTTTATAAAAAAGAGTATTCAGTTATTCGAAAATGAATATTCAATTGATCGAAAATGAGTATTAACTCGTAAATGTATACTTATCACGGATGTACCGGAAAAACTAATTTTACGATATAAATGAGTTTGGATTGAATAAAAAGAAGCCATATAAATGTACCTACGAGTATATTTTAAGACGCCAGAGAGAAAATAAAAGTATAAACTTTATTTGTGGAGTGGTGGAGGGAATAAATAAATACCTATTCCATTTGATTGTTTTGTGTGTGCTCGTGTGGTGGGGTGTAGCTGCGTATGTGTGTGTGTGTGTGTGTGTGTATATATATATATATATATATATATATATATATATATATATATATATATATATATATATATATATGTATGTATAGAGAGAGAGAGGAATATGATGATATAATTAGCAGTTATATATGATTGATCAAAGTATATATATATATATATATGTATGTATATATAGTAGTGAAAAAAAGAATGATGATGGGGGGAGGTGGGGGTGATGGGTCGTCGTCGTCGGTATCGGAATTGCCGCCGGGGTTTCGGTTTCACCCGACGGATGAAGAACTGGTGGCGTACTATCTGAAACGGAAGATCAACGGCCGGTTTATAGAGCTCGACGTCATCCCTGAAGTTGATCTCTACAAATGTGAGCCATGGGAGTTGCCTGGTACGTCGTACCTACATACCCAGCTGTTCTATTCAATTCTTGATGGTCTCTTGTTGATATGATCCCATTAGATCAATATTTTATAAGTTCGTTATAAGATTGATCTAATGGGTTAGTCATTTCGGGTCGGATCAGAGTGAAGGTTTAAGAGAGTCAACCATTAATTTTTCAAATGAAATTTCTAGAGTTTCCCTTTGGAGCCCGGGTGGGAGTATGATATTGGGGTTCCATCTCACTTGAACCCCGCCATGAAATAATAAAATAATATTACAGTATTTTTCAAGAAATAATGAGAGATACATATCTAGTGTATACTCAATACTCTCTCCTACCTTAAAAACTCTTTTTCTATTGATTTTTAAATGCTTTAAAGAGAATGTATTTTCATGATGATTTTTCCAAATTAATGTCTTTACATGTGATGGATAAAACAAACGAGGATGTAATGAGTAGATCAGTAATGAATAAATATCAGGTCATAGGTAGGATTAAAATTAGTATATGTTAATAAGACTTTTTAATAAAAAGTGAAAGAAGATCGAATTTTTTTGAGACGAATGAAGTATTAAATAATAAAAGTAGATTACAATACAAATACTGCTAAATACTCCACACGTTCCAAATTAATCGTTTTATTTCACTATCTACACACAAAAAAATTTCTTTTAAATACCCCGTAGTATACTTGTTATTCATTTGTTAAAATTACATAATCATATTTCATCTTGTTTGGTTAAGAATCTAATGTAATCTTTTACTCATATATGCTCCGATCCATTGTTTTATTTCGAAATTCTGTACCATTATTTAAATAAATTAGATTGAAAAATAAATTCAATAAAGCTTAAATGTTTGTAATGGGAAGATTAATTCAAAACGAAGTGAGTAATTATGGGGCGATAATAGACTTTTTTTCCCTAAAAGACTCATATTTTTATGCTATTAATATACTAAAATCCATAGAATAGGTGTGAACGTAAGAGAGAAACGCGCAAATGGAGATGAGAGAACAACAAAAGGAAAAGGAATCAAATTAAAGAAGAAGAAAAAGCAGAAGAAAGCTGGCGCCAAAGAAATCATTTTTTAACACGTGAATTAGGAATTAATTAAATCTCCTGCAAAATATAAATATAGTTGCAGTATACTTCATTATCTGTCAAACTATGGTGATCATTTTTTATTTGAGAGTATGTATATTAATTCAAAAACTTAGACTAAGGGGCTGTTTGTTTCAGTCTCTTAATGGTTCAGATGTCTGAATGGTTCAGCACTAAATGGTTCAGACTGTTTGTTTCAGCCTCTTAATGGTTCAGATGTCTGAATGGTTAAGAGATTTGCCTCTGAATGGTTAAGTATTATACAGAGTCTGAATGGTTAAGACCTCTTATCTGAATTGATCAGACATTTGCTTCTGAATAGTTAAGCAATATACTAGCTCTTAATGGTTCAGACCTCTTACTGGTTCAGCACTTAATGGTTCAGACTGTTTGTTTCAGCCTCTTAATGGTTCAGATGTCTGAATGGTTAAGAGATTTGCCTCTGAATGGTTAAGTATTATACAGAGTCTGAATGGTTAAGACCTCTTATCTGAATTGATCAGACATTTGCTTCTGAATAGTTAAGCAATATACTAGCTCTTAATGGTTCAGACCTCTTACTGGTTCAGCACTTAATGGTTCAGACTTCTTATTGGTTCAGCACTTACCGATTCAGAAGTTGTAAAAGAACTCCTAAAATTCAGCATTGCCGAACGGGATACGAAGAAATAAAGAAAAGCGTTAAGAGATTTGTTCCAGATCCCGATCTAATAAATGAGAGAAAAAAAAGACCTTGAAAAAGAAAAAGAAGATCGTAGTCTGTCTCGAGGGAATCCCGCAGTGGGCCAATCAATGTCAAGTTATAAAAAAAAGGCAATATTAACTCCAAGAAGAAAGCACCCCATTCGTCAACATTTGTTCCTCCAAATTCATCTATTCTCTTCCTCCTAATTTAGTTGTCACACTATTTAATACTACCTCCGTCCTAAAAAGATTTACACGTTTTGACTAAAGTTGAAATTAAGGGAGGAATAATTTTGTGTTGACTTTCCAAAAATACTCTTGAAAGGTGTAAATTTTTTGGGACGGAGGGAGTATTTCTTCTTTTCCATATTTTTATTTATTTCATTTTTCCCATCAACATTTTTAAATTATATGACCATGAACTATTGAAAAAATATATTTCGTTCCTTCTACGAAAAGATTGCACATTTCATCTTCCTTTTTTTTCATTCAACCAACCAAAAGTTTCAGGTATAATGCTAAAATGGAGTGTTTCAGGATGACAATCATAGATGATTTTATACATACATTGACGATAATCGACAGTATCCACAAATAATTATCGTATGTGATTGTCATCCATGAAGACACCCATGCCAGGGTCCTAACATGTATGGTCCAAGTTTCATTTTTACACTTTCGAAAAACCTTTTGTGTCCCTAATATTGTTTCGTTCTCCTTTACCTTCACTTTCAATCAGACAATATTATTTTTTCTAATTTCTATGCCTATCCGAACATGAAATGCTTTTCAGGGACGGGGAAATATGGAATTGATTTACGCTTCGCATATAAGTAAAGATATTAATAGTCATTTGCTCTTGGAACTTTGCTTTTAATTTGGATTATAATATGTGTGTGTGTGACAGGGAAGGCATTGTTGGCGAGCAAAGACCTAGAGTGGTATTTCTTCAGTCCACGAGACCGGAAATACCCGAACGGGTCAAGGACGAACCGGGCAACGAAGGCCGGGTACTGGAAGGCGACCGGGAAGGACAGGAAAGTAAATTCAGAAATGAGGGCGGTGGGGATGAAGAAAACCCTAGTCTATCACAGAGGCAGAGCTCCCCACGGAGCTCGAACCGATTGGATCATGCACGAATACCGCTTAGAGGAAAGGGAATGCGAAACCCGGTCGGGCTTACAGGACGCCTACGCCCTCTGCCGCGTCCTAAAGAGAAGCTCAAATACCTCGGATATCGGAGAGACTTACTCCGCCGCCGCCGGAGACGATCAGGCGTCGAGCTCATCCTATGCGATTCAGCCTCCGCCGCCGCTTTCAGGCGACCTCGGTTTCCCGGCGACGTCGCAGCAGGATTACTGCTTGGAGGTTCCGGATTTCGCCCAATCGGGCTATGCTCGATTCGAGATGCCTCAACCGAGCTGCTGGGACTCCGACGAGGCAAATCGCCGAACACTTGGTGCGCATGGTTGCACGTTAAATGCATCAGATTTTAGCGACGATTTTGCCTTCTTCCCTCAGAACGAGAGATTTCAAAGCTACAGCTCTTCTGGATTCACGGATCAATGGAAGGAAGATGGCCAAACGATCGAGGAATTCGGCTACGAACTAGGATGGGATAGAATGGGTGAGAACTTGAGATGGGTAGAAATGTTAGACAAATAGACTCTCTAAGAAGGTTAAAACCAAAACAAAACACTTATTGTACATCTTAAATGTAATTAAAACTAATCCACTATGTTCAGATTATTTTTACAAAGTATAAACATATGTATCATATGCATCTCAAATGTAAACAAAAATAAGAGGCATTAAAGCTTTTGTGAAGCAACTGCTTTCATGTTCGGTTTATTAAAAGCTTGTTTTACAGGGCCATACTATTAACAATACAGCACGTAGGCATTAACGAATATCTCGAGACGGGAAAGACTAGCGACCCGTGGCACGAGAAAATGAAACAGTGGCATTAGAAGTGGACGATAGAGTGGTGGTTGATGTGTTTGCAGTACTCGCGCTCTTGTCGAAATCAATAATGGAAGGCCTTTTTGGGGCGTCATGCGTGGTTGAATGATCGCTTGAAAGCATGACAACAACTTCAGACATGCTTGGCCTTCGGTTTGGGGGTGATTGGGTGCACATCAGTGCGATCTCCACGATTCTCTTTGCGTCTTCTGGTTTATAGTCATTTGGGTCTAAACTCTCATCCATAAGTTTTAGGTGGTTCCCGCTCTCACACACATTCCATGCCTATATGTTAAAAAACACAAAGTATTGTTGACACCAGATGTTGAAGAGAGAATAATAATAATGATGATAATGATAATACCTGCTCAAGGAGATACTCATTTTCAGGGTCAGATTGGACGTCGCCGCTTCTTCGCCCACTAACAATCTCCAGGACGACGACACCAAAACTGTACGTGTCAACTTTTTCAGACAAATGACCATGGATTGCATATTCTGGAGCTGTATATCCCCTGTTTCAACACAAGATCATTCTTACTTAGTGATTTATCAAGGAACCACCTCAGCCTAATGTTTAAGTTTGTGGTTGTGAGCCCAAGAAATATTTTTTAATTCATGACCGCTTAGCCAAATCAACTAGAAGCTCAAGATTGTAGTTGTAGCCCAGGAAATGTTTTTGAAGTAGAACATAATCCAAAGTAAAACTCAGGTGAAAACAATAGGGCAGCCAGGCTTACAAAGTTCCTGCAAATCTGGTACTAAGATGACTCTGGTTTTCGGGTAAGAGCCTGGCCAAACCAAAATCAGCAATTTTGGGCTGGAAGCTGTTGTCTAATAGTATATTGCTGGACTTTATATCTCTATGTATGATGCATACATGGAACTGGTCGTGTAGATAGGCAAGACCCCTCGCTGTACCAAATATTATATCAAAGCGTTGCTTCCAGTTCAGCGTCCCTCGTTTCTCTCCTGCCAATCATGAAAACGTTTGACAAGTTTTTATCGGATTCTAGCACAAAAATAAGAACGTTATTTGACTCTGGAGTTAAATCCGTGTAATTGTACCATATAAGTATTTGTCAAGGCTGCCATTTGCCATGTATTCATAGACCAATAGCAGATCTTCGCCTTTGGAAGAACATCCAAGCAGTCGGATGAGATTACGATGATGGACATTTGTAATGAGCTTAACCTCACTGTCAAAGTCTGCTTTTGCCCTACTCGAAATCATGGCCAATTTCTTCACTGCAACCACATCCCCACTCCTTAAGACGCCCTGTTCAGTGGTGAAAGAGTGCCTTTGGTTACTATTTCAGATGAAATTTCTGCTCTATGGATCGTCAAAGATGAAATGACATGTTTACCCACCTTATATACGCCGCCAAAACCTCCTTCACCGAGTTTATTTTCTTCGCAGAAATCTTTTGTTGCTGCTTTTAAATCTTTGAATCTATAAGTCTCTGGACCTCTCAACTCAGTTGTCCCAGAAATATTCCCTAAATCATAAAATGTCACAAGATATGACATGATGACTGCTACTAAGAAGAGTCCATGTGGGAACAACATTTGCAATTAACATTAGTGATTTTGATAAATCTTTCATAGTAGAGATCTAGTTTATATAAAAGGGAAATCAAGTATACCTCTTTTGGTAGCCTCTGGCTTGTTAGATCTTTGGTATAAAAGGAAAACGACTCCAAATACCAAAACAAGTCCCATACCTCCAACAACACATCCGATAATAATCGCTTTCTTCTTCTTCCCTGAACTCCCTGCAGAAGGTGTTACAAGCTAGGTAATCTTCCCACATTCCACCATACATTGAAACCACATTATAACATTAAAATTAGGTATTAAAAGTTAAAACACCTATTCCTAGGAAGGGTTCAAGGTTAGTCACATGATCTTCAGCGAAAAAAGGGGTGTCTGAATATCTCAAGAAACAAGCGGCATCAACCGCTCTGCCCTCTGCAGATTTACCCAAACACCCTTGTATGTTCTTGTGAGCCACCGCCAAGCAATCTTGACAGCCGCTTTTGCTGATTGTCTCCGCACATTGGGCCACCGCATAGGCGGCTGCACCGCCACTGCTGCCACCAGAGACCACCCGCTTTGTTGCAGCGAAAAACCCATCAATTTTGGGTGTTGCAGTCTGAAGTTCATTCAGCAGTTGTTCTACTGTTGCATTGAAGGGAACTCTTTGAAGGGCAGTTCTGTTGCTGCAAATTGCAAGGTTTCCTGGTAGGGTAGTCTGATCATAGAAGTTATTGCTCTCGTACCTAAATATAAAACAAACTGAAATTTGCTTTTGTAGAATTGTGAGTTTTAATCCCAAACCCAAACCAGCAGTCTATTAAAGGAGTAAGTCACATCTTTATATTTTGACTTTTTACAGGTAAAATAGACAAATGTTAATGATTCATTGAATAACATTTCTATTAGATATTGATACAAAACAAATTTTATTAAATGTAAATGTGTTTGATTACGGCCAATATAAGTGTTCATTAAAAAAAAAGAATTCTTTAATTTGAGTAGTTATCCAAATTGACCAAAAAAGTATTAACATTAAGCTGCTTCTTCATTGAGTTCATATTCAAGCTTGTTCCCTCCCGGATTGTTTGTCTTGTTTTAATTTTTTTTATAATTAAATAGGATCAACATTTGGTATATAAATGAATAAATATTAGTATATGACATACTAATTACATGACGTAATAATTTAAAAAAAATACTCCGTAGGTACTTGGTATTAAAGAATACAAATCTAATAAAATTATTTTTATATCAGTATTCTAAAATTAATGAAAATGGCCGGATTGCTCGGATTTGCGTTTTGGCACCCAAATGATGTTAAAATAAATCACCTGAGGAAGCAGCCGTCAAATATGACACGGCCACCGTTGGCGGAGGAGCAGCTTCGGATGGCCGCCACTGCCGCGTCATAACAGGCAACGCAGTCAGCGGCGGAGAGGTAGTTTCTGCACTGGACCATGGCATAGACAGGCGGCCCAGTGGTGGCGAAGTGTTTGCTGATGTTGTTTTGCCGGTGGGACAATAATAGCTGGTTTCTCAGATCTGCAAAGCTGGAGTTGAGTCTCCGGGAGAAATCTGTGGCGTCGGTAGCATTGTACTGGCTGCACCCCTTGTTTAGCTGGTCGGTTTGTGGGCCGCTAACCGCCGGCTCCGACAGTGATGCAATCAATACCGCCGCCGTGAACCACCGCCTAACGGCTGAGTCCACCATGTCTTTGTTTTATATATGGCTCACCGAAGTGCTCAAGGAAATTAGAGTTTACTTCGTAGTTCGTAAACGCATGATTGAAGTGAGCTATTTGTATCCTATAGATTTGAAATTTAGGAGCTCTTTGTTTCAGCCTCTTAATGGTTCAGATGTCTGAATGATTCAGCACTTAATGGTTCAGACTGTTTGTTTCAGCCTCTTAATGGTTCAGATGTCTGAATGGTTAAGAGATTTGCCTCTGAATGGTTAAGTATTATACAGAGTCTGAATGGTTAAGAGCTGTTATCTGAATTGATCAGACATTTGCCTCTGAATAGTTAAGCAATATACTAGCTCTTAATGGTTCAGACCTCTTACTGGTTCAGCACTTAATGATTCAGACCTCTTACTGGTTCAGCACTTACCCATTCAGAAGTTGCCAAACAGCCCCTTAGTGTAATGTGAGGAGCGTGATAGTGCAAATTTTAGTTTACTAGTATTCTAAGTTTTTAACCCGTGCCATGCACGGGGTCGAACAAAATTTGTGTCAATTCTAAATTATTTCAATTAAATTTATTTTTCAGCATAAAGAAAATTTATTGTGCAAATAATTTTTAATACTACAAATGAAAAAAGCCAAAGTAAAATAAATAATATTTTAGGAAATGAATGTGGAGATAACACTTTTTATTTTAATACCAAATTTTCTTAAAGACTTCAGGGTATACAACATTTTTGGTATAGTTGTAAAGATTTCCATTGTCATCTAGAACCAATATCTTTAATCATGTCTTTGTCTTCACTCGTGAAACAGCAACATATAGCTGACCATGTGTGAACACCGACTTGGTTAAAAATAATCCCACAAATGACAATGTTTGACCTTGGCTTTTGTTGATAGTCATAGCAAAACATAAGGCGATGGGGAATTGTCTTTGGAACTTCAAGGATAGGCCTGGATCAGATGGTACCAAATGCATTCTAGGGATGTAAACTTTTTCCCCAACTTGATTTCCCAAAACCACAATTGCACCGATTACATTATTTCGCATCTCTTGAACGATTAATCTTGTCCCATTACACAATCCAAATGTTTGGTCAATGTTTCTCAATAGCATAATCGGTACCCCTTTATTCAAGACTATTCTGTGGTTTGGGATTCCCGAACATTTGATTTCGTTCAAGAACTCAACTGTTATCCAATCACCATCAACACCTACATCTGCATCTGCTTGGCACGAAAAATCAGAACTCAAGTACTCCTTTTCATCACCAGGAATGAGAAACATGACAAATTCATTTATCATTTCAACAACTTTGAGAGTTGGTGCCAATAGTGCTCTATCCTCAAAAAAAGAATAATTTTTCATATTCTTTAACATATTCGGATAAGTGAAGTCCACTATATAGTCTTCATAGGAGAGCTTATATCAAAAATTAAGAATTCAGGCGGAATCTCAACATCACCAACTCCGTCCATCACCTGACCTAGCTTTCCATCACCCATTTTGATTATCCAATCAGAAAAAGTTTGTGTCTCCTTATTTGAGCAAGAAGATGTGGATGAATGCAGTCTCATATTCCTGGTCAACGTATAAACTTTACAGTACGACCACAAATGTGAGGAATTGACCGTAGCACCTACGATTTGCTCTCTCGAAGCTCTAGGTAAAACTGGAAGGATCTGTCGAAAGTCAGCTCCGAGTATAACTGTTTTCCCTCCAAATGGTTCATTTCTGTACTTAGCATTAGAGAACCCCATGATATCTTTCATTGTGCAATCCAAAGCCTCAAAAGCAAATCTACTCATCATGCATGCTTCTTCCCATATGATCAAACTTGCTTATTGGATCAATTCAGCTTTGTGGCTCCCTTGTTTGATGGCACACGTTGAGCACTCAGTTAGCGCCAATGGGATTGAGAATCTAGAGTGTGTAGTGCTTCCACCAGGCAATAACAATGCTGCAATCCCACTGGATGCAACATTCAAAACAATCTTTCCTTTAGATCTAAGAGAAGCGGATAATGATTTCCAGAGGAAGGTCTTTTCGGTTCCCCCGTAACCATTCACAAAAAAGAAACCTCCCTTTTCAGTTGTCACGACTTCCATTATATCGTCGTATATCTTCCTCTAGTCTTTGTTCATGGTAGATAAGTATTGTCTAAGATCAGATGACAATTTTTCTCTATCATAGTTCAACTCCTCGACCAATAAGTTATTTTGAAATCTATTGAGTGGGTTGTCATCTAGAAATGGCATACCACCAAACTCTTTTAAGGATCGCCCGTTTGAATAAAGTAACTTCTTAATCTCAATCAAACACAAATTCTTTAAATCTTCTTGGGAGATAAGAAGTTCTGAAAAAAAGAAGTTAATATTAGACTAAATTATTTCGACAAAGATGTCAATTATAGAGTTTTGTATAAATACCATTAATTTCATATTAATGTTTATATAAATAATAAAACAAATAAGTTTTCATAAAAATACCTTGATTACGCAATATTCTTCTTCGATCAAATAAAATTCCATCAACTAAGAGCTCCCATGTTTTTTCCCAAACAACTTGAGGACGGCTCATTGTATTTGTCACTAGCAATGTGACAAACAACTTTCTTAATTGACCTCCAGATCCTAGCTCAGCAGCCTCTTTTATTCCCTCAATGTATTCCTTATCATCGGCTAATAACCTCAATGCTTCGCATGCTTCTTGGAAAGAGTTATGTATAACATTGTTAACCATCCTCAAGCTCTCATAGGTTTTACATCCTCGTTGAATCGTTAAAAGTATTCTCAAATAGTATAACTCTCCAGTTCCTGTTGACACATATTGCAAGCGGCCTATTGATGGTCTTTGTTGCCTCGGGAACCATTTCCGCTCCTTGCTGTTATACACAAAATATCCAGGGAATTCAGCATACGTCAGATTATGTCCTGCAGTGTATTGTGTATTGGCAATCATCCAAGCTTCAAACATCGAAGGTTTGTCAGAATTTTGTTCGACAACATCTTTAAGTTTCTGTTTATCTTTAAAGGTGACAAATTTCTGACCTGGGAGATGGAAATTCAATCTCAAAACAGCTGGCCACCTATGGTGAATATCAAAAGCTAGAATTCTCCAAGTGGCTTCACATGCAGGCACATAACGACAGTCGTAGTACTTCTCGGTTTCATCATACACCGCACCATCGACAACGTCACTCTTAGATTGCGTACCTCCAACGGTTACTCTGTCTGGACCTATATTGACATATTTAAAAAGATATTTGATTAAGAGAGTTTCACATTTAATTAATTACTTACCTTTTGTATTTTAGGAAGGACTTTATTATGGTGAGAATTTATTGGTAAAGGATTAATATATGTAGCATGGCCCTAAAATTTCTTTTATACATTTTAAATAGTATTTATATTTTCATTTATATTTTTAATTTTTTAATATTAGCCTCGTAATTGGAGTTCGTATTGGTGTAATATTAACATATATATTTACATATAATATTATTGATTATCCAAGATTCATAATTAAGGATTGTCGTATATAGGCAAATAGTTGGAAAATAATATTAGTATTATCCAAGGTACATAGTATAAGTAAGGTGACAAATAATAAACTCGTGATCATAATTTACAAATTCAATTTTATTTAGGATTGTTGCTTAATAGTATTTTCCGTAAATTTTGTTAATGACCATATATATAAGTAAGGTGATCAATAATATATAGTTATGGAAGCAAGACAAATAAGTAAGGAATAAAAAATAGTATTGGAATTTCTATTATTATAGGTATACTCCATTGATATCAACCTATATATACACGAATTTCCATTAATAAATCTTTATTACTTACTAATTTAAGTATGAAATTTATAAATATGGAAGTATCGATATACGGATCTTTAATGACACATGGGGCATTGGATATAAATGGATAGTATTTAAATACTTACCATTTTATTCAATTGAACACTATCTCTAAATTTTTAAGAACATATACAATAAATAGTCAGTACTTACCATTCAAAGAGCACCGTTGGAGATGGTATATTTGTAAATATTAATCTTGTTGAATATTACAGCGGGAATAAAAAATAATAATAATAATCCGAACTTATAAACCGTTTGGAGTTTACAACGAGAAATAAAGAAAATAAAACTGGAGTCTTCGGAAGCTCGAACGGACTGGGAGAACACGAATAGACAGCAAGGCCGTGACTTTGGAGAAGATGATCGGAAAAATCGGGGATTCGCCGGAGCAGTTTCTCGAAGTGAAGGTTAGGAAGAGTTGATCGGAAATCGGGGATTCGCCGGAAGAGTTGATCGGAAATCGGGGATTCGCCGTAAGAGTTTTACTGCAGAGAGAGAGAGAGAGAGAGAGAGAGAGAGAGAGAGA